GAGAAACGAATTTTGGGCAATTAGCTATTTTCACCCACGGACCTACCGACTATACCACGCTCCGATGTTGAACCATGACAGAGACACAACTGACACAACTGGGAGAGACACATGCAGTTGTTTCCGCATGGTTTCTGTCCAACGAAATCTCTGACTGGATAAAAATGTCTGTTAATCCGTGTATCATTCTTTCATTCATCTCTCAAAATAAAACCAAAAAAAAGAAAACGAAAAAAAACAACTAGTTTCTTCATTATGTGTCTCCAAAACCAAAATGAAAAAATGGATAAAGATTTGTTTTTTCAGTTTTTGATTTTGTGTTTAAATGAATAATGGAAAAAAAGGGATAATGGCCGTTTCCAGTTTCCGTGATTTAAACTGCAATGCCGGACTTTTGCGCCGCATAAGGACTGAACCAGGACTAAACCAGACAAAACCAGGACTAATTCGGCATTTCGAGCGATGTTTCTTCTGCTCAATAAATAATGCCTGTGAAGTGATGATGGGTTTTTGACAGTCGAGTCGCGTCTGTGAATTCATATTTGTACTGAAGAAAAAAGTATAATCGTAAATGTTCATTTCATGATTGTAATTCTTGAAATTATAACATTTCATTTCATATTCTGATGGGTAAAATAAACACAATACATTTTATGTATGACTGGACTAATTCAAGAGTTTATGAATATTTATTTTATGCTCAGCTACAGCCAAATATGCATGGATTTCATGGATTTCATGGATTTCTATCCTATGCACACAAATATTTCTGAAAGCTTTCTTACTCCAACTGGAAACTGCTGTCCTGTCCTCTCATCAATACATAAGTACAAGCTGTAAGCATGTGCAAGCTATACATATACACTTTTCATGTAAATATTTTTTTGGAAATAGTGTTATCTTGTTAACATGATTGCCTAAAATTTGTTTGACAAGTGCAGTTTAAGTCACAGAAACGGGAAACGGCTGTTATCTGTTTTTTCCATTATTCATTTAAACACAAAATAGAAAACTGATAAAATGAATCATTATCTGTTTTTTCATTTTGGTTTTGAAGACAAATAATGAAGAAAATTGTTGTTTTCTTCATTTTCTTAGTTTTGGTTTTATTTTGAAAAACAAATGAATGAATGATACACTGATTTCTGTTTCTAGCAGTTGCTTTCTTATTGGTTCTCTTTACGCAAAATGGCTTAAGAATGTAAAGGCAATATCATAATACTGCGTTGGACTGTTATAGTGTTTTTCTAGACACCCAAAGCTCTTGGTGGTGGTAAGCTACTATTGTATCCACAGCTGCTCTAGGGTAAACGGACAGAAGCAAGACTGCCCTTCTGACTAGAGATCGACCAGATACCAATTGCTTAAGCTCCAGAGCAACCAATGGCCGATAAGCTCTGTCAATATATTTGGGCTGATATTTGATTATTTTCCCCAAAGTAGGCCTATGTAACTTAAATTTTGCTGCTCTGTTTTCTAAATTATTGTATTATATATTTTATTTTGTTATGTTCAGAAATTTAAATTAAAACCCATAATATAGTTATATCAAATGAATAATATAAAACTTTTACAAACATTATAATTATTTTTTTTTGTTTTGTTTTTTTTTTTTCATTTTTTGGGTCACCAAGAAAATTACAAAAAAAAAAAAAAAAACTCATCCAGAGCCATTTAATCAAGAGAGACGTGTAGTCACATTTGGTGCACCTCTTCATATAAGGCTTTGTGTTTTTATGGGCAGCAGATCAACCAAAACTAAATACCAGCCTAAGCTGTAAATCACAGGTGTCAAACATAAGGCCCGGGGGCCAGATCCGGCCCTCCAAGACCTTTAATGTGGCCCTTGGGTGATTTTCTACTAAAATATTTTAATTATATTTTCTATTAAAATATTGTTAATTTTCTGTGGTGTTTATCATAGCAGCGTCTCCAGCGTCTCTGTACGTGGCCCCTCCCACCAGAGCAGCACAAATGAAGACTTGTCTCTTTCCAAACGCTCTTAAAGGACGATTGTTTTGACTGTTGACCGTGACACCCTCATCAGAAAAATGTCAAAAATGAGAAAAGTGGAGCCGAGTGCAGGATTTTACAACAAAAATTTACTTATTCCTATTTACATACAAGTTCATGTCAAAACATTGTGTTGGAATTGAATTTTTCTTAAAGTTTCAGGTTGTTCATAATATAATAATATTATAATAAGAAAGAGTTCATCAATTAAAAAAGATTTCTGTAATAGATTTGCGTTTCTCTGCACAAATATTTGAATTTATTGTTATTTTTGGGGTTTATATGACATGAGTTTTCTGATCCGGCCCCTTTGGGATCAAAGTAGGTTGGATACGGCCCCCGGACCAAAATGAGTTTGACACCCCTGCTGTAAATTTAAGGCTGATCGCCGATACCCTTCAAACTATCTCGCTCACACACACACGCCATTAATACTAGGCAAGGTCGGTGAAGTGTCTTGCCTAAGGACACAACCAACAGTAGGAATCAATCTTCATGAGTTCTCTAACCAATGAGCCATCGTCTTTCCCCACATCTCTCGTTCAGGTTCACTAATGACCGGGCCTATCGACATGAAATAAAAACTGTCACAAAGTTCAGCGTCTTTTCTGTCAGCCTAAATAAACAAAAGTGAAACCAGATCGTCAGCCTCCAACAGCGGAATCTATTTGAAGCGTACTGTGAGTCACTGCGATGTCTGGAAATCTCCCGCTGCGTCTACCACCTTCTCATTCAAGACACCCAGCAGGAAGTAGAACACCAACTAGCTAGCTTTGAGCAATTAGTCCTTTTTTTTTTTTTCCCCAACTATACCATCTTGATGCAAAAGCTCGGATGCTCCCCCAAAGTCTTATGTGCAATTTTAGGTTTATTTTCGTTCAAGCTAAAGATCCGAAATCTCTTGACCTCCGCAGACAGCAAGCGGCCCAATTAACGGATAAGAAGGTGAAGGAGCGTGGACTTTATAACCATGCAATTACCTAGAGTCGTATCGAAAGCGCACACCCACGCGACTAACACTGCGAGGAGGTAGTGTTCTGCCAATAATGGTGACCAACCGAGGGACACAAAATAGTTTTTCAATTCCGCTGTAGTCGCTTTCTTTATACATTTCAAATAACTTTCTTTGGCTCCCGCTCTGCAATGTTCTCCCCTCTTTGGTTGTGATCGGTTGGGACCCCTGGAGAGAGGACGGGGTGGCTCTCTGGTGACTGGAGCTAAAGCATGGAATCACACGGCATAATATATGTAAAGAAAGCATTGATTTTTAATAGATACATGATAGCTTGTTTGATGAGATGTCTTGGGTTTTACCAGTGAGGCATGTACAGCAAATATAATTATAGTGATTAGGATGGATAAACAAACCGTGTTATTTCAGTTCAAATAATTGATATGATGAATCAGTCATTACCGCCTTGTTTATTGTGGATGATGGCAAAATTATTTTTATGTTTTGCTTATAAAAGGTGGGTATATAATTATGCTTTTCATTTCACACCTTGGAAAACAATAAGGTAAACAATACAAAAATAGTCACAGTTTTTGCAGAATGTAAAACTGGGTGCTCATAGAAATTGAATATTTCTTTCAGTTGGATGGTTATATTAAAGCACCGTGTAACTTTTCCTTTACATGCATATTATTAAAGGAACAGGAACAGTTTGGAAGATAAAGTTCTTAAAGATGACCTGTCTGTGTCTCCAGATACAAGGTAAACATGTTGAAAACAAATACTGTATTTTTCAGACTATAAGGTGCACCGGATTATAAGGCACAACATCAATAATGTTGAATTCTCTCATCTATTTTCATACATACCAGATTCTAAGGCACATTAAGTGAAACAAATGGACAACATTTGAGACTGATCCTTTAGTCCAGGCGTCCACGATCCATTGGCAGATCGTGGCGTAACTCGCCCAGCGTTGCCTCCCTGTTTTGGTGATTGTGGATTATGAATGTGAATGTGGGTGAATAATTTAAGTTTTTTTTTTTACGTTGTACAAGAGGACTCAAATATACATTGAGTAATAATGTGTTTAATGCAGCTTTGCGCACATTTGTTTATGCTTTACAGAAACAAAACTTAAAACCACATGGCACATTTGCATAAACTATAAGTGCTGAAAAAAACAGCTCGCTCCTTGTGCGCTGATGCGGTCAGTTTATGTCGGACTAAAGGACATGACTCAGTGGAATATGAGTGAAAATTGGTTCGAGGTCAGTAAGCACAACCAGATTTAATACATAAGGCGCACTGTCGATTTTTGAGGAAATTAAGGGATTTTAAGCATGCCTTATAGTCCGAAAAACACAGTATTGATTTTACTGACAAATGCATTGATTTGTTGTTAATTATAAAAACACTGGACATAATGTTGTTTATGTTAGAATTTGTAATTTGGTTCTCAATACAAGCAAAATAAGTGATTGATTTGATTTGGGTCGCCAGTTTCAATGCTAAAATACATTTAGTCTGAACTTAAAATGCCTTTCTCTTATCTGAATTGTCACTACCTAAACTCCAGCACCTATAGCCAATCATAAATCAGTGCTAGTGCAGCCTCTGCAGCTCAGTGAGGGAATTCTGGAGGTTCTGAGTTTTCACATGAGACATGGCCTGTTCATAAACTGACAATGAGAACCTCTTGTGTGTGTCCTCTATCTGCTGGTTAAGGCTCTGGCTAGCAGGGTTCAGGTTTGATTGTAATACCTTTTCAAATCTGAGCCACATACTGTTCCTTCAAGAAGTAATTGGTTAAATCCAACTGTGGCTAACTGAAGAAGTGAGTGGGGACAGGTAGACCAAATTTGTCTTTGAGCATTCAAATTCCCTTTAGCAAAAAAAGCACCACATCCCAACAGTTTCCATATTTGCAAATCATGTAATGTCACATCACAATACAATTTAACATTTTCATATCACCCAGCTCTCGATACAGCTTCTACTGCCTGTACAAGTTTACAGTGGAGTCGTACATTGTTCAGAAGATGGTGTCCTCCTCCGCTCCTCCGTACCATGGCGTCAGTCGGACCAGGCTGGGTTTTGGGTTGGGTTTCGTCTGCTCCGGCTCCTCTGGCATCATCTCAAACGAGTCTAATGAACTCAGAGACCCCGTAGGCGACCCCTCCCCCTCGTAGGCATATATTCTGACGCGATCGTATGGAGGCACGTGGGGGTCCTGGTCCGCCTCCTCCAACCGATCCAGAATGAACTGCCTGAACACTTCGTCCTCCGGTCCGATCAGGTGCGAATGCCTTAGCGACATGCGAATACTAGCGCGTACTTCCTCTCTCCTCAGCTTCCTATCTCTTCTTTTCGGGTGTTGGCGTAACGGGACGATCGGCTGACAGAAGTCCACCCGGGTCCCCCTGTTGGCGTCCCCGTAGTACAGCACCTTCTGGGACACGGTTTCGGGCAGGTCTAGCTCTTTCACCTCCGTGGCGTCTTGCTGTTTTCGACGATGCCTCCTCAGGATCAGCAGCAGCACTGACAGCACTGGGGAAACAGAACAGCGGGCGATCATTAGCGTTAGCATTAGCGTAAAGCATGAGACTCGTGAGCCCAGCGCCGGAGAACACGCGGGGGGGAGGACGGAGCCAAGGTAACGGCAATGAAAAGAATACCAACGCGGGTGTTAGACGTGTAATTATCTTCTAACCTTTTCATGCATTAATCATCGGGAATCAGCTGATAAAACAGCACACACGGAAGACTAATTGGTTTCTTTCAGATTTGGCAATGTGATAATGATGCCACATTCTATTTATATTATTTTATTTAGACGTTTTTAAAAAAAGAACATATTTTGAATGGGGTCACATTTTGGAGATGGGTTAATTGTTGTGTAGCTTACCACCACCAAGTGCGGAGTGAATGAGTAATGCCCCAAATTATAAAGCGACTAATGCATTTTTGTTATTATTATTAATTTGGTCTGTCCCCATCTCAAATAGTGCAGATCATCAGTGATCTAATTAGAACAAAATGACCTTAATTACGGTAATTCATAATTTCAATGTATTATTGGTCCTTTGAAAAGGCATCTGCTTCAGTTTCCTTTCGGCCATTCATTTTTGTTACTTGCGATGGCGATGGAGTAAGAAAGCTTTCAGAAATATTTGTGTGCATACGATAGAAATCTGTGCATATCTGACTGTAGTTGAGCATGAAATAAATATTCATGAACTCTTGAATGAGTCCAGTCATACATAAAATGTGTTGTGTCTACTTTATCCATCAGAATATGAGTTGAAAAGTTACGACATCAAGAATTACAATCACGAAATGAAAATTTACGATTACGCTTTCTTCAGTACGAATACGAATTCACAGACAAGACTCGACAGTCAAAAATATGACATCACTTCACGGGCTTTATTTATTGATAAGAAGAAACATCGATCGAGAAGCCGGACATTTGCACCGTATACGGACTGAACCATCACTTAAACCAGGACTAAACCAGGTCTAAACCAGAACTGAACCAGGTTTAAACCAAGACTAAACCAGGACTGAACCAGAACTTAACCAGGTCCAAACCAGGACTAAACCAGAACTGAACCAGGACTAAACCAGAACTGAACCACGACTGAACCAGAACTGAACCAGGTCTAAACCAGGACTAAACCAGGACTAAACCAGCACTAAACCAGAACTGAACCAGAACTGAACCAGGACTAAACCAGGCCTAAAACAGGTCTAAACTAGGATTAATCTTGGACTTGAGAGAGAGAAGGAGAACCCCTGTGAAGTGATGACGTATTTTTGACAGTAAAGTCTCGTCTGAATTCGTATTCTGATGGATAAAATACACACAAAACATTTTATGTATAACTGGACTCATTTAAGAGTTTATGAATATTTATTTTATGTTCAACTACGGCTAAATATGCACGGATTTCTATCCTATGCACACAAATATTTCTGAAAGATTTCTTACTCTATATATGGCCTTAGTCACAATTTTTCAACTCTCTTAGATTCATGATTAAGGTGGGAAATATCTTCTCAGACATTAGACATGTGTATCGTGGCACCATTTGGAACTGTCCAAACTTTCCAGCTGCATGAAAAGGTTAACCAAAACCTCAAGTGGAACTAAACACTTGCAAATCTATATTTTTGCTACTAAACTCCTAGTACTTTTTGGCAATTTTGGTGCAACATTTGCAGTTTTCTAGTCAGAAACACAAAGACAAAAAACTGAGCGTGTGCTGCCTCCAGTAACCGCTGCAATTTCAAGCACTATGTGACATCACGCAGGACTGCCCTCATTACAGTCAGGTGTTTCTGAATATAAACACGTGGCTGAAGTGTGGATACCTGTTAGACCAATCACACTGCTCCAAACTGTATTCATACTTTGCAGCTGATGTAAATAAACATTCCCTGGGGGTTTGAAGCTAACTGTAGGCTCTGCTCTGTCTGAGGCTTTGTTTGACTTTAATCCGTGACCATAAAGAACTGACTAAGGCTACATTCAGACTGCAGGGCTTAATGCTCAATTCGGATTTTTTGGAAGGGTATTCACATTTTCAATTCAATGTGACTTGTATGTGAGCTCCAGTGTGAACTTTTAAACACCCCAAAAGTGTTCCGCATGCACATTGCAACTTTAGTCTGAACATCCAGGTCACATTCATCCCACCTACACATCAGGCTCAGAGTCTAGTCAATGGAGGGAAAGCGAAGTTAGTGAGTTAATTCATATTTCAGGGGATCGCTGTATTCAGGCCAAATTGGAGGGGTCATATTGGAACAGGACGGTTTTTGAAATGATTGCCAAAGAAATGACCGAGCGCAGCTACAGACGATCCTGTCTCTAATGTCAACAAAAAACAAAGAGCCTGCAAGCTAAATCCAAGGAGACTAAAGACTCAAACAAACAAAGCGGCCGTGGACGTGTAACCGTCCATTTTATGAAGAACTGGAACGTATTTTGGGAGACAAGCCCAGCGTTTAGTCAACTTCCGTAAACACTGAGCGCGCTCGCTGTGTGTGATGTCATCATGTCCTCCAATGCACATGCGGTACACTTTTGGGGTGTTTAAAGTTCACACTGGAGATCACATGCAAGTCGCATTTAATTGGAAATGTGAACAACCTCGCAAAAAACAAACAAACAAACAAACAAAAAACAGATTCGACAAAAAAAATCCAAATTCAGCATTAAGCCTTGCAGTCTGAACGTAGCCCAAGTGGCCTGGGTCGCTTTAAAAAAATCAAATCTGTATCGTTCAGACTGTCATTAAAAGATCAGATACAGGTCACATAGGGGCAAAAAATTGGATTTGGGTCACTTCAGGCTGCAGTGTGAACGTAGCCTTAGTTAGAACTACTGAAGGTGAGGTGATTTGTGCTGTTAAACAAGTCAAATAACATTACAGTCACAACAGTTTTCACCTAAACAGGACCATGAACGCTGGTATCGATCACAGACTCCTGAAAATGTGCTGTTTAAATCTATTTTGTATTTTTTCTTGAGTTTTCAGACCACCTTAAAACTGTTTTGTCAGTGTTTGCTCTTGTGTGCATTTGTGTCTTCATGGTAACTGATGAACATTGCACTATATACACATACACGTAGAACGCCCCCAGCGGAATGCCACTGCAAAGTATCAATATAGTATCCCCTCCTCCGCCTTCACTCTTCACTCAATCCTCCAGGTACTGCTCAGTTTAGCAGCTCTGTTTGCAGCAACGTGTTTGTGGGCGGAGTTCGCGTGTTTAGTCCCACTTTAAGAATTCTTTTCATTATCTCTACATTGTGTTACTAAAACAGAATGCTACCGCTACAGTGTTTATTTGATCGGAACGTTAGCCAAGCAGGTAGCGTCATTAATCTTTCATGTGATGGGCACGCGGGCGAATCCACACAGCTCAGGTCATAATAGAGCTCCTCACTATGCAAGCCCACCCACATCCCCGGACGCCTTTGCTACTGATGTATTGCAACCAATAGGCTCATTAGCTGCCATCATTGCACTGCCGGCGCTCAGAATTTTAAGCTTGTGTTAAAGCCACAGTGTGAGTTTCAAACAGGGGAATTGGAATGGAAGATGGAGATGAGTTAAAGTAGAGTCCCGCTGGTGAATATTTGTACTTGCCCGTTACGCTGTCGTGTGAACTGCTCTAGCTCCACGCTGGAAGAGAATAGGCTTTTAAACACAGAAATCACAGACACGTTTTCATCTGTTCAGCTAATTACAGAAATGCTCTGAAGGATTAGCAGGTGTTTTGGGGTTGGGGCTATGACCACCAGCCTTAAATCAAATGTTTTCATTCAAGTTGGAAATCAAAGCTGGATTGGCCTACATTGAGAAGGTTAACTTTTGGGACTTTGTTTAATCTTTTTCTTTTCTTTCTTTCTTTTTTTTTTTTTTACAATTATCTCAAACTCTTCTGGCCAACTTTGATGAAGAAATTTGAAATCATATAATTGTTCTCCGCAAGAATTTTATTAACCAAACTAAAAAATAATTAAGCTGAAAATCTATTTAATGTTCCATAATTCCATTTAAAGGTGCACTGTGCAATTTCTTTGATAGGGGTGTGGCATCAAGATTACTGCTTTGGAAAGTTTCACCATATATACCGTATTTTTTGGACTATAAATTGCACCAGATTATAAGGTGCAATATCAATAATGTTGAATTCTCTTGTCTATTTTCATACATAAACGGTGCACCGGATTATGAGGCGCATTAAGCAAAACAAACGGACGACATATGAGACCGATCCCTTAGCCCAGACATCCATGATCCATTGGCAGATCGTGATGTAATTCGCCTGGCGTTGCCTCCCTGCCTTTGTGAATGTGGATTATGAATGTGAATGTGGGTGGATCATTTAAGTTTGTTTTTTTATTTCCTAAGAGGAGGACTCAAACATACATTGAGTAATAATGTGTTTAATGCAGCTTTGTGCACATTTGTTTACATTTTACAGAAACAAAACTTAAAACCACATGGCTAAATTGCATATGCAACTATAAATGCTGAAAAAAACTGCTCGCTCCTTGTGCGCTGATGTGGTCAGTTTCTGTCGGACAATTCTGCCAGGATCGTGACTATGTTAGCTGTTAGCTGTATCTTAGCTGTTCTGCTCCGACAATCCATCAAGGGGTGCGGATTCATAGTTTACAAGGTCATACTAAAACATTTTGACAGATGTTTGAGCGCCGTTTGCCACATAAAATCAGTTCAAGGTCAGTAAGTACAACCAGAATTAATACATAAGGCGTACCAGATTATAAGGCAAAAAAATGAAAGGATTTTAAGTGCACCTTGTAGTCCGAAAAATACGGTATAGTTTTTTTTTTGTTTTTTTTTTATTACAGGCGTATTTATTGCGCAAGCATACAACACCACAATCTATAAATTGGCCTGATGGTGTCAACTGCTTGTTGCTATGGAGATAGATAATTTATATGCCATATACATTTCAGAAATAACTTCACACAAGTGGCAGACCCTTCACCAGGAAGGTCACATTGTGTACCTTTAAAACTTAATCATCAGCTTATCTCAAAGGTGTACTATGTGACCTTTATGATAGAGGTTCTGCCACCTGCTTGTCTCCATGGAGATGTTATTGCTTTAGGCTATACTGTGGAACATTCCAGTATACATATACAATACATCTCCATGGAGACAAGTCAGAACCCTACCAGAAAAGTTAGATAGTGCAGCTTTGTTTATTTATGCATTTATGTTTTAATAGTTCTATAGTGTGTTTTGGCTCCATACCTGTTAGAGTGACCAGACTGACCAGGAGCCCCAGTAGTGTCTGCAGACTGACTCCCATGGACAGAGCCAGGGCCTCCACCCCGCTGCTGGGACAGTGACCGGCGGGCTGACAGCTGCACACGCTGATGGTCAGCTGGTGCTGGAGAGCGCCGGGCTGCCACTGTCCGACACCACCACCGGGAGGAGGTAGTGAGTCCGGTCCTTACGGGTGAACGTGCTCCGCCGCGCCACGATACCTGCTGTGTTATCTGTACGGAGAAAGGTAAAACAGGTTGAGGGTACGATCCTAGCTCAGACAAGTGCATTTTGTTGTGGTGTCCTTGGGCAAAACACTGCATCTATGTTGCCTATGTATGACTGATAAATAATTCTTTTGCCAATCAATCCAAATGCAATACTGTAGCCATAGCAGCATCCCCGCCCCCTAGGATTGCACTATTTTAGAAAACAAATAAATAATTGCAAACTCGACACTTCAGAAAAATTCCAATTTGATTACATTTTTTCTAAAATTATGCAAATTATGAAGCTGTCTAGTCATTAACATGTAAGAGACTGAAATCTGAAATATTTAGTTGTAAACAGAGGACATATAAATCATTGCAGCTTTTGTGATTTGATAATTGTGCGGTTGTAAATGACGAAAGAAATTCTTGGTCGACAAAAGGATGACTGATTAGTCGACTAAAAAGGGGGCGTCGCAAAAGCTCTCAAAACAATTCAGTGTCTGTTCCGCTGTTGTCCCATATAAATCCTTACAATCTAACAGAATGATTAGATGACTACCACAAATTTTGGTCAACTAAGGCTGTGTCCGAATGTCCACCATATTCCCTGTGGTGTGTGCATGGACACAAATGATGAGGCAGCTGTTTACTTTACAGTTCTGCTCAGAATACTCATACACTGCACATACTAACATTGCACCTTTGTTCTCACTTATACATCTGATGCGTTCACTGATAATCTGTGAGTTCTTAATGATGTAAACATTACAGTCCCTAAACCCTCTTTCACTAACATAGACCTGCACTCATTCACAGAGCACTCAGCTTACTACATTTGGATCATGTGACTCTGGTGTCTAGTTGAGAAAAAGTCCACCAAAACTTGATTTCTATCATAAATAATGATCAGATCAGAGTGACAGAAGTGTTTATGGACTAATAATAACCATTCAAGTGTCTGTCACTCTAGATTTCACATACACATACTGGTTTATTTGCTTTTTTTTTGAGATGTGGACATAATCGCTCTTTTAAAAGCTGGAGCTAAGGTAACTGGTTTTATTCAGAATTATGGATCTATAGAGCCATAAACCAGCACTTTTATCTGGTTCATTTAGTCGTGTTGTGTCCAGTTAAACACCTGTCGCTGTGTGTCGTTTTCCTGACTCTCCCATGACATTGTGGTCTATACTGGCTGCTCTAGTGACCACCGATGCTCGCTACTTTTCACGGTGCATTGTGGGAAATTTTGAGTGAACTACTTTTTCACCAACTGGACATTCGGACAACCGTGAAAATGGCGTGACATCTAAACAGTGCACTAAGTAACAATAGTGTGGACATTCATACACAGCCTAAGACTGGCATCTACCGATTAATCAAGTACCGTATTTTTTTAGACTATAAGCTGGTCCACAGTACACCAGCCAAAAAATGCATAATGAAGAAGAAAAAAGAAAAGGCAAGTTATAGTAATAACAATAGAAGAGAGAACTGTTAATGTCACATATGAACAGTTCTTCAGATAATTATAACATAAACAACAGAACAGAACAAGTTTACCAAACTCTCCGTCTCACTCCAAATCACTAAATCCATTGAATTCTTCATCCTCAGTGACACTTCTGAGCAACTCCTCGGCCTTTGGAGGTAAACGGAGTGCCACTTCCTCTTAAGCATAGCTGTCGTCAGACTCAGGTTTCAGTTAGAATTATTCCGGCCTTTCTGAATCCCGACAGGATGGTTTCAGTTGTCTTTTCTCTTTTCTCTCACAAGTTCTCTTGTCTTTGTCGATGCATCCAGTGACTTCCAGGAAAGTTGCATGGTGCGCCCTCCCGGTTGTCACAAGTTTCTCGCTCACTTCAAACTGTCTTTCTGCTGCTTGATTACTGTTTACGGCTGCATATTTCACTACTTGCAGCTTGTAATCTGCAAAATATGATTTTCTTTTTGGGGGCATTTCTGTTCAGTCTTCTCAGTTGTCTTTATAAGTTTGTTTAAATGTTAAAATTTCAGTGGTACAGAAGTAATGGTGCAATCGATTGACACGATACAGACAGGACAGAGGCTCTTTTTGCAGGAGACATGCGCAGTAGAGTGAAGTGACAGTGGTACAGGAGTAATAGTAGTTGCAGATACTGACACACAAGCCTAGAGCCTCTCACAGCTGTCATTGCAAATATGTTAATATATAAGTCATACCGGAGTATAAGTCGCAGGACCATCTACAACATGAAAAACGTGCGATTTATAGTCTGAAATATACGGTAAATGACAAAAGTGCTAGATAATTACATTAATTGAAATAGTGAATGTGATTGCAAAATATTGTGCAGCCCTCCCAACCGCTACTAATTCTTGACTGACTGCTAATGATGACAGTGTTTTTATTCATGACGCTACCTAAACCCCATAAAGTCTACGTCTATATGGGACCAGATGGTTTGGGGGAAAAATTGGTCAGAATTTATAAACACAATGAATGCACGGCGTAAAACTTTGCAGCAGTTTTGCGAGACTCATCAATGCTATAAACAATAACTGTACAATATGCCTGGTGGCGTTTGCATTTCTTCATTCATTATGTGGCTGTGTGCTCTGTCCCCGCGCGCATATCTTTCATTATCGGCGGCATCTCTCTGCAAATTTAACAATGCATTTGAATCAATATTAACACAGTGTTTGGGTTCTCTGTGTTCTTTCTTTTATTTAAATAAAAGTGAATCATAAAGGAGGCGGTTGATTGGCGAAATGAACAATTGCTACAGGTTGTAAAGTTCATGGATTGCATTGTAAAATAATATATGGAATTTCAGAGGCTTGAATGTGTGTTATATAACTTTTTGTTTGGGGGTCCATCACCTGCTTTTTTCGATGGATAAATTATCACTGTGCCTGGAATGTTCCGCATTGTGACTTTAAACCACTCTACCTTACATTTATTCAAGTACGGGTTGTTTTATAGCTTAAAAATACATATTAAAACAGGCATTCTGACTGTGAACAGCGTCGCCTCTCCACAGATCTGACCTCTAACTTGGTCTGGTTTGGTCTTCATGAAGATAAAAAGGTTTAATGCCGTACTGTGAAACATTCCAGACAAAGCATTAACATCTCCACGGGGGAAAAAAAAATAAAAAATTTAAAAAAATTTGAAGCACCCTCCACCAGAAAATTTACACAAAAAAGACATTTAAAGAAATTATACCTGATTTTTCCTCGTGTATTTGAGCAAAATTTGTCTTGTGAAAAGCCCTTGATACTTTGCAGCTCATGTCATCAACATTTCCTGGGATTGCGAAGCTAACTGAAAGAACTAGTCTGTTAGAAGCTCTGTTAGTCAAGTTCGACTTTAATCTGAGCTTTGTTTGAACACAATCTGACCAGAAAGAATAGACTTAGTTTGAACTACAGAATGTGAGATGATTTGTGCTTTTACAGTCACAAGCTAGAATAAACCAAAAGTTATTATTATTATTATTTTTTTTCTGTTAGTCACTTTCAAGTTTTCTGGTGAAAAAAAAAAAAAAAGTTTTAAACCTGTTTTAGGACCATGAACACTGGTATTGATCACCGGATCTTGAAAATGTGTTGTTTAAATCAATTTCCAATGATCAGAAATTTGGCAATCGAATCTTGCTCTTGATATAAACATCATTGGTTAAGTGGGCAGATCCACTGACCCACAGGTTGGTGGTGTGATTCCAGGTCCCACATATGAATGCTCTCGTTGTGCCTTTGTCTCTATGGGCAAGACACTTACAGTAACCTGTCTCGCCCCTAGTGTCTGCGTACACTGGTGTATGAATGTGTGTGTGTGTGTGAATGGGTGAGTGATTCCTTGTTGAACGTGGAAAAGCTCTGTATAAAAATGTGACCATGTTACTATTTAGTATTTTTGAGTTTTTCTTGAGATTTTGGCAAACTTTTATGGCAGTATTTTGCTAACGTGTGCATTGTCTCACCATGATATCTACTGAACGTCCTGCCAGTGGAGATACATGTGGCACACCCCAAGTGTGATGTTACTGCAAAGTATCAGTAAACTCATTATAGTGATGTTCTAATTTAAGACGGTAAAATCAGGTAGATCCCCTTTACTAAAAAGTGAAAATATTTGCTTTCATTGTTTTTGAAATGCCACTTATTGATTTTAGTGATTGTTTCTCCTGTACATATCTACACTTTCAGCAAATTGTCCACGGCATCTTGCTGTGACAAAACAAAGCTATTGTCACGTTGTTTGGCTAACTTTTTCTGTTTGCTTTGTTTTCCTGTTTACTGACTCACAGTATAAAAGTATTTTTTGCATGATGACTAAAACCACTGAGGGGGGCTGAAACTCAATTGTGTGTAAGTAAGAAGTTGTTACCAATAAAAGCTATTCTTTATCCAAATGTTTTACATATTGCCAGCCTCATACCATTATTGCTCATCTTTTATTTGAGTTTTTCTTTTTTCTACTCTTCACATCCTGCTGCATTTGTAGTCTTTTTGTTGTTGTAGTAACTAGTAGTCATTTATGTCATTGGCCTCATCATTGACCAATCAGATTTTTTTTTACTTCTGTGCTTTGATCCTGCGTTCAATTTTCCTTCTGAATCGGTTTTCCAAAGAAGTTCCCTAGCGACACGCGTGACACGTCCCTTCCTGGGACGGTGCGACTCAGACCACTATGGCCCAAAAAATACACAGAGCATGGATTCAGAGTCAGAATCCAAGATGACTACGCCCACTGTGATGTGTAAATATGAAGTGTATTCATTGTGTTTGGACACTTTGGTGGTTTAAATGATCATTTCAGTCACTCACATTACTGCAATATCTTATGGTGAGGCCAATATTAAACAAATACTTGATTTAAAGGGTGTTAACGTTCCTAAGGTTGTAACGGAAGAGAAATCATAACATAAAATTTCAAAAATTTTATTAATTAAAGTGACAAATCCGAGGTCCAAGTGGGAGTCGAAAGATAATCGAACGCAGTTATTGTTTGTCCACTGATCTGAATGTTGGGGGGTTTTGAATCCTGCTCTCCTGCTCATTCATTGAGCAATCTGCTCCCCTGCCCCACAGTTGTGTCCTTGAGCAAGACACATAATCCACCCTACTGCCACTGTCTGTATAAACTGGTGTATGAATGTGTGTCTGAACAGGTGAGTGGTTCCTTGATGTAAAGATGCAAAGCGCTTTGAGTTCCTCTTGTTTTTCCGAGGTAACTGCTGAATATTCCACCATAGACATATATGCCGTCCACCTCAGAACAATGTCACTGCAAGTATCCTTTCTCTTCTCTATTATAACAACTGTCTCCTCTCATGAATTCTACAAACCTTTTTCACATCCAACATCCAAAACCCCCAACATAACTGTCCCTCCACTTTCATAGTATTGATCCAGGGACAGGTGTTTGATTGTAAATTCCATGCCTTGTTATGTGGCATTCTATCATCTTTTGCCTTACCTTGGTTGTCTCGGATGGTGAAGTTGGGGTTGATGAATTTGTCGGGGACCATAGAGAAGTAGAAGTGGTGTCCTTCTGCAGGTTCATCTGGATCCACAGCACTGAGCAGCTGAATGAGCTACAAAACACAGGGACAAACCATGGAACAAAGATGCACTTAAAAGACAGGAACGTAGCATTGTCCAGATTTCTGTAATTACTAAAGTTATAAAAGTTTGGTTTTATTCACTAGTACTAAAATACAAAAGACTGCCTGTATCTAGTGAAATGATCTGTGGGTTTCAGAATGATGAAAAATTAGGAATGTTGCCATTGCGATTAAAGGGCCCATATTACGCAATTTTCTGATCTATATTATAATGTTTCCTCATCACAAACAAACATAGAGTTATGTTTTGCTTCATTCATACATGTTTAACACACAAACCCTGCTTACTGAGGTGGAGTTCTCTCAAACAGAAAACACTTGTGTGCTCCACTCTGTACACCTTCACTGAAAACATTTGGATCATTTCAGCCCTGGCATTGCCTATTTCTATGGAACAAAAGTTAATAGATAGCTGTTAACTTGGAAACCACCACCACTCCATGACATCACAAGGTGGAACAACATTATAACCTGGTTAAAAGCTCATATATATATATTTTTTTTAAATATAGGACCTTTAAACTTTGAATTATTACCATTGAATCCGAAAAAAATGTCAAATTTCTTCCTCCAAAGTTTGAACTCTGCTCCGAACCACATACATACAGTTACTTACATAGAATTGTCTGTAGACGTCTTCATTAGATTTTGAGTAGGTCAGGTTTTAAGGTTCCTTCAGGTTTTAAGGTTCCTATATTACACAAAATTGACTCCTGTGATATTTAAGCCATGTTAGAATGTTGTTACCTCCTCAAAAACATACCCAAAGTTGTGTTTTGTTTCATTTACACACATTTGAGTAATCCTTTATTATTAGTCTGTCTACATCAAGCGGCGGGGTCTAAAAATGGCCACCCTTTCAAGTCAGTGGGTCGAGCTCAAGATTAGCCTTTAGCCCGGCGAGGTACTTCCGGTGGCTCTGGGCCAATTGAGCATGCGCAGTAGTGCTCTTTTCTCCCGTGAGCGCATGGAAATGTGATTGCTTTTGACCAACCAGAGGAGCCGAGGTGAACAATTATAAAGCATTTTTTAAGACATCTATAGGATTTTGAGCTGAGAAAACAGGTCTAAAAATAGGTAAAAATTGTCACAAAATCTGACATTTTTGAAAGTTGTAGATGCCATGACGCCAACTGGAGGCAGCTACAAACTAGCGATACCCTATCCAATTATTTTAATAGATCCATGGTCTACATCTCCAAAGCTCAAAACGCTCTGTTCCACCTTGTGATGTCATGTAAAGGTAGTTCTGAAGTTAACAACTACCTTTTACCTTTTCTTCAGTAGAGGTTGGCAATTCCAGGTCTGAAATCATCCAAATGATTCTAGTGAAGTTGTATGGAGTTTTAAACAGTGGAGCACTTCCTGTATTACCACATGACATCACAAGGTGGAATGGAGTGTTTTCTGTTTGAGAGAAGAAACGTGTGAATAAAACAAAACTCCAGGTATGTTTGTGATGAGAAAACATTATAACATAGATCCATAAGGCCTTTAATTCATCTTTTTACTTTTTTGTCCAAACTACAGAATCTCTCATCTTGATCTATACAACACTACAGTCTGATTTTGGACACTTTCACCTCCTCCGCCCTACAGCGAGCGACGGGAGGGGGGGGGGCCTTACCTCTCCGGCCTGGGTGCCCTCGCAGATGAAGGGCTGGTAGTCGTGAGCCAGTCGCGGCGCGTTGTCGTTTACATCCAGCACTCTGATGAAGACCACGGCGGAGGAGGACAGATGAAGCTGCACTGGAGAAGTCAACACACACTTTAGCCCGGCGCACCGCTAGCATGAATCACCGACGCTACAGCTAAAGAATACTCGGCGCTGACAAATGCCTCCTTTGCTCCATCCATCCACGCGAGCTGATGCCTGAGCCGGCTAAGTGCTTATGGAGTTGTTACAGGCGGTTAGCAAGAACGAAGAGGCAATTTAAGGTGAGTTAAATGCGCGCGGTAAAATCAACATGAGTGAATAAGTATAAAACGCTATACAGAAAAAGCTAAAGAGCACCCTTAGAGGCAATCTTAAAGGTGCACTGTGTAACTTTTTTGTGCTGGGAGTCCGTCACCTGCTACTTGTTGCTCTGGAGATGTTATTGCTCTGCCTGGAATGTTCCACAGTATGTCATTAAACAGCTCTATCTTATATTTATTTAATTACAGATGGTTGCCTATCCACAGATCTGACCTGTAACTTAAAGGTTGTATAGAAGATTTTCCAAGGAAAGAGAAATGCAGCGACTGTTTGTCCTTTTTTAAATGTTGCGCTTCGCACCTTTTTTCCCTTCTCTTCTTCTTTCAGCAACGTCAAAAACTGACTTTCTTTTGCGGCGAACCGGTCGTGAATTCTTCTCTGCCATTAAAACAAAATTTGTGCAAACTGAGAGCTACAGTTCAAAAAAGACGCCAAGAACCGCTAAACATGAACCGCGAACATAAACCACTCTATCCCAGCGCGTCAGCAAGTCAGCGACGCTAGAAACGTAGGGAATTTGATTGACAACCTAACAGCCAATAGATAAAGAGGTAGCCTTGTTATCTATTGGCTGATGTTTACCTGTCCTCATTACGTCCACAGTTGATAGATTTTCATTCTTTTTCTTTTCCTGGTCATCATAATTACAAGGCTGCTGCGTCTCTGTAATGGTATTTTAAACTTTCACTGACAATTTGAAAAAAAAAAAAATCCTCCATACAACCTTTAAGACGCTTTCACACCGCTAGTTTGGCTATTTGGTCCGCACCAGGCAATAAGATTTTTGTTATGTAGCATATAGACTCCATTGTGGTCCACTTTCACACCAGCAAACAAATCAAAATTGGTCCGACTGATGTATATCTCAGGCTCCTACGCACAGCGAGTTCGAGTGCATGTGGCTTGGGGACGCTGTGGCTCTCCCACACGCCAGACTTCTCGGGAAACCAGCCCAGGGAAGCTCGGACTGCCAGCTGCAGGATAGGTATTCAGGCCCAAACCCGGCCCCCGTCACTTTACGCCCTTACTAGGGTGTGAGAGTCCAGCATCGGGGTGCATGCTCAATTGGAAAGAGTGGAGATTGAGGACTAAGGGGGGGGTTGGTTGGCGCGCTCAGTTCGGGAGTCTGAGCCTGCCCTCCCATGATGCATTTCGAATAGTTCGTTTCGACCTACTGTCTATGGTTTTGACCTGAGTCCGCGTTCACACCAGAAGGACCACGCTAGAGTTAGGAATTTGATGCAGAGTCAAGCAGACCGAGACTGCCTCTTTTTTGAAGTCCTGGGTCCACTTGATTTTGTGCAAATCCGAGTGTGATTGATGCTTTCACACAAATGAAACTGAACCGAACTAAGAGCTTGTAGTTCGAGTGGAACGTTTGGTCCGCACCAACTACTGTCAGTCTGAAAGACCGTTTGTCTGGTTTGGTCTCCATGATGACAGAAAGGTTTAATGCCACACTGTGACAGACGTAATAACATCTCCATGGAGAAAAGTGTTTGATGGACCCTCTACCAGAAAAGTTACACAATGTACTTTTAATGTGGTTTGAAATTGACTCAACATTTAGACCAACTTGCACAGTGAATATGAAATGTACTGGTTAAGTGTGTATTGTTCAGTGTATGACTTTTCTCACTGTCACTTTTTCAGATAGAACATTGATGATCAAAGTTGACACAGTTTCTAAGATAAGATTCACACAAATAAAATGAGTGATTAAGTAACATTAGTTATAGTTATATGATTAAACTGACAAATACAGTTGCAGCTATGGTACAGGACACTTCAGGGTACACGGTGACATAAGACCAATGTAATGATGAGACTTATGTTAAATATTAGTATTCAATAATGGTACTGATTAAATGTCTGAGTTCACATTATATCTGGAGTTTTGATACATGCTGCCAGTATAGGTTTGTGCAATATACACAATGTTATAAGAAGATAGACAGATCAATAGAAATGTTGATAGAATAAATCTAATCATCTCCAGTTGTAGTACACAAGGGTAAGTACCCATCTCCCGATCTTGAGCCAGTCTTGGGCAGAACTACTTTAGCTGAAGGATTTTCTATTCCTATTGTGCATGTTTGTGCATGTTTTGGGGTTGATGGGTGAGCTGGAGTGCACTGAGGAAATCCATCCAGAAATGTTTGATATGTGTTCCCCATGACCCTGAGCAAGACCACACATCTGGTGAGGAGGACCCAGATGTCACAGAGGCTGAAAGAGAGGACTTCAAGTCAAGAAAAGGTGACGTTGCATGGTCATCAAGCCCTCTTGACACTCAATGTAGGGCATCAAGGGAGAACATCCTCAAAATGACTCCAGGGCCTACTAGATATGCTGTGTAGCTTGCCAAAGACATCAAGTCAATATTTGAGCTGTTCTTTCCACAACCTCTTCAGAAGATCCTGCTTGAGATGACCAACATGGAAGGGAGAAGAGTGTTTGGTGATAGCTAGATGGGGATTGACAAAACACAGCTGGATGCCTACATGGGACTGTTTCTTCTTTAAATAAAAATAAAAAAATCTAAGAATTTTTTTTGGTAGGTGTACTCTAATATTAGTAAGACATGGATCATATAATTACTCATTCAGCCAAAAAAGAAATAAAAATAAAACTGTTTCAATGGATATGAATACATACTAAGTTAGCTATGAGGTGAAAAACAATATTGGATGATAACTAGTGTTTTTAAGTATTTTAAGGCTGAAAATACTGACCCATTAACACTGAAGATGTGGACAGCTTTCTAACACAATACAAGGGTTAAATTCACAAAGGACATGCAGGTTACTCTTGGCTGCAACTAGAGAGTACCAACAAGCTCTAAAACTGTCAAAAATAAGAGGAAAATAATGCAAAACAATCCTCCAAACTCCAGGTGACATAATAATATTGATATGATGCATAGAGTAAAAAAAAACAATGTCTAAACTTCAATTAATGACATATTTTCCACTAAAATTTCTCTACAATTTCAATACAAAGGAATTCACTCAGTACTCTACATCAGTTATGATACTACAATGAAGAAAAAAAATGCTCCGTTTATAGTAATATAATGTAATTTTCATACACAAATATTCTGATTGAACTCAAAATGGCACTAAAACTGTTTAGGAGAGCTCAGAATTTGTCCTGTTAATGTAATTTTTTTTGCAGTATCGACACGCTCAAATTAGTATCCTGTTACAATATTAGTTTTAGTATCGATAGCATCACATTTTCGATATTTCTGACAACCCTAGCACAGGCTGTTTAAATTATTTGTGTTTTTCCTTACATGTTTCTGTGGCAATGATGGTGACGTTGTGCCAGTCTGCGCTCTCCCGGTCTAAGGCCTTCTCCAGAGTCACGGTTCCATTGTGAGGGTCTATTCTGAACGCCTTCGCGCTGTCACTCCTTTTGTCGATGGCGTATCTGCAAGAGAAAGCACCCAGATATTATTGCGCGGGCCGGGCTGTTTTCTTGGCAAACAAAACATTGCGATACCACAGGGAGATTAATTAGGCAAACTGCTCCTATTTTTCTTGTCTTTTTTTTTTTTTCTTCCGACGGATATCCAACAAAGAGGTAAAAACGCAGGCGGTGACATGGCAACGCGGTCAAAACAAAGAGAGGTAAAATATTAAAAACATTGTGTTCGGATGTTGTTTGACAAATTGAATTTTGCTTGATATCAGGCCACGGGATTTTCTGATTTGTGAGAAAGCAGGAGTTTAAATATGAAAGCCCTAGGATAAGGAACAAAAGAGAATATGTGTGTGTTGTTTTTGAGAAAAATAAAAAGACAAGTTAGATTTTGGTTTGCTGTTAGCATGCCGTGTTGTTGTGGAATCATTTATAATGAACGGGCGTGGGAAGTACTCAGTTACATTTATTTACAGTTATATTTACTTAAGTAGCTTTCGCTTTTCAGCAGCATACTTTTACTTCTCCTTAAGTAATATTTTTATTGAAGTAACAGGACTCTTTCTTGACTAAAAGGTTTGGCAACTCTTTCACGGTGCCTAAGTCTACAACTCAGCAAAGGACAAATTCAATTCTTTGAACTGGACAAACGGTTTCGATCGAATACTTTTCGCTGCTCATCCAAACTGCTTCTTCAGTTCTGGTCAGATTGCTGCTGGACACATTGAAAAAAAAACAATATTTAGTTAAATTAAAATGACTTAAATTAAGAACATTTGGCTTCATTTGAGCCGATTCAATTTGACAAGTTAAACGATCTACTAATGGAATAAGTGTGTTTTTCTTAATTCAAGCAACATTAGATTTTGTTTCTTGTTTTCTAAGTGCAAAAAGTTGTTGTTTTTCTGAACCTTATATCTTATTTCTGCCTGAAGTCTACAACTTTACATTGACAATATGATGACCATTTGTGTTCCTTGCACCTCTCCCTCAGATATTTTTCTTATTTTTGTAGAAAAACAACATTATCCTTTCTGCTGTTATGAGCACCTGTCAGTGGCCCTCCACTGTAAATATTTTTAGTTTCTATATTCGACCCTAGGTGAAAAAAAGTTTAGACATCCCTGGTATAGACTGCCTGGCCTTGGTACAGACTTCATGGTCCTGGTACAGACGGCATGGTACAGAATGGGTGGTACAGACTGCGTTTTCGTGGTACAGACTGGGTGGTACAAACTGCGTGGTACAGACTGGGTTTTCCTGGTACAGACTAGGTGGTACAGACTGAGTGGAATGGGTCACGGTTGGACATGATTTGGGTTTCTGGTGACCTACATTTCATGCTCCAGGCACAGCTCTGAATGCATTGGCAGGAATCTGCTACGTAACACTGATATCTCCTAAATATTGGAAGGACATTGGACCCTGTTGGATTCCTTAAAAAAGCAATATCTAGGTAAGTAAAAATTAAGAGCATTTTATTGAATAGATAATAATCTACCAATGGAATAAGTCTAATTCAGGCAACAATATATTTAGTTTCTTAATTTGAGTGCAAAGGTGTTGTGTAGCAAGATGCAGTTTCATATTTTAAGTACAAAAAGTCTTGTTCCATTGGCAGATCATTTTAATTGTCACGTGAAATTTACTCAAATCATGATAAAACTTTAATTCAATTCAGGTTTAGCTAGGTTTTGGTTTTTGCAGACAGTGGAAACACTTTTTGGCCATTCCAGTCCACTCCAAAGCAAACCAAAAGAAACAGGGCCACTGAAAACAGGACTGACTTTGGTACCAAAAAACCCAAAACTTTAATTACCATTAAAAGAGAACAGAGAAGAGTACGAAATAAAAAAAATTCAGTCATATGCACAGAACCGTTGTGAGTCTGAATTTAAACATAGTCAAAGAAGAGGCCTGTCTAATGTGTTCAGGAAGTTCCAGGTTCATAAGTCCATTCTTTTGTACTTTAGGCCCTGTGCAACTCCACAAGTTTCCCAAAACTATAAATAGACAACAAACTATTGCACTGACAGTTGTTTAGTAAGACATTTGCCTGACTCCATTTCCGCGTGTCAATACTTTAAAACCACTTAGCTTTATTGTTTTTCCTGGCTGTCACGCAAACTCTTTCAATTACATCCCAACTTTTCCTTAACTCAATTGTTATTTGAAGAGACATCTGTCTTCGCCGACGCCTTCCAACCTGACAATACAGATGTACGGCTTGAGTAATGGCGCTGATCTGGCAACGCGTCGTAACAACATCGGAAATAAGCCAATTTGACCCGAGGAAACTTAATCATATTCTGTGTGAATGTCGAAAGCCTTCCAATAGAGCTCGGACGGACGCATTACTCTAGCTGTCACCAAAGGGAGCGTAATATGCAGCACCTGCCACTCACCACGTCCAAATAAGAGGTTTTCATGTTTTACTAATTATAACTTGGATTGGTGGGATAGTACCAATGGTAAATAATTATCATGGTCTAATATAAACCCTTTAAAAATTGTAAAAAAAAAACCCAACAACTTCTAAATTCCAGAATGGAGGCAACTGGAGGCAAAACTGAAGCGGAACATAATGTGATTTCAATGGGAAAACTGCGATGAATTTCATAATATCATAACATATGAAAGAGAAATTTGGCAAGTGAAAACCACTCAGATAAATGTGAGTGATATCAGAGCTAAAGCTGTTCGATTATGGAAAAAATCATTATCACGATTATTTTGGTCAATACTGAAATCATGATTATTCACATGATTATTTTTTAGTTACATGATTAATTTATTCAAATTGAAAATAAATAAAGGCTACTATGTACCTTAGAGCAGTTCTATGATGTATAAAACATAAAATGAATAAAATATACAGTATATCTATATATCCAGCTGTTCTACAATCTCTGTATTTAAAAAATAAAATAAATATACTTGTTTATACAAGAAATATCCCAAAATAAACTGTTAAATTTTAGGGTGCACTCACACTAGGACTTTAGAACCGTGCTATGCTCAAGCTCGATTGCTGTGAGTTCTGTGTTCCACATTCACACCTGCACAACTGAACCGAGCCACGATGACGTCATCACACAGTGTTGTTTGTTTACGCGTGAAGCAACAGAGCTTTAGCGGAGAAAATAAGACCAGTGGCAGAAATATCTATTAAATACTGAGGTAGATATGAGTCCTGCTGTGATACGTGCTCCTCTGTGAGTTTATGGATATAATCATTATCGTAGCTCCCATTACACACAGTGCGTAGGGCTCCAAGTGCTTGTGGAGGCACCACGTGAATCCTCACAAAACTACGGTTGTCACGCCCTGGTCCTCACTTTTGCAGGCACATAAATCGTTTTAGCTTGAGTATAAGAGTTTGGAGATCATCTGACACACAAATTGAAATTACAACCAAAATTCAATTTAATTGCACAGCCTTAATCAGAACCCTGCTTAAAACATTTACAATTGTGTGTTATTTGTTAACATTTAACTAAGCATTTTTGACAAAGGAATATCCAGATTCTTAGGATTTACTGGACCAATCCTTACAAAAAAGTTGAGTCCACTACAGTTTGTCACTTCATCTACAGATATTTTACACATTTCATCATAAATTATACTTTTTGTCGGACTCTAATACAACTTTGAAGTTAGAAATGCAAATTTTGTTATTCCTTCTTAACAGAGAAGCTAATTAACTAAATTGTGTACCTTGGAAATTCAAAACTGTTGTTTAATTTTTTGTTATAATGTTGTAAAACCATTAGCATTTAGATCTGCTCATTAGTTAATCATTAAAACTATATTATGTCTGCTTCACTTTGTCTCCAGTTGCCTCCAATCAAAAAATTTGAACAATGTGATGACACAAAACTTTAACTTGTCTATATTAGTTAAGTATCAGTTAAGTGGAAGTTTGTGTGGAAAAACAAAGTTGAGAAGAAAAATGCAAAGATAGGAAGTAGAATGAAGGTGTTGTCATTTATTTTATGGGTCTTATGGGTTTTATAGGTCCAGTCATAACTATAAATGCTTTCAAAGTTTTGGCCCATGTTAAGATCTTGGTTCCTAGGTAACACTTATGGAATTACCTCTACATATGTCCAACCAGGAAGTAAAATTATAAACTGAAAAAAAATTAATAAATACTTGGTTTGGTGGGATAGCATCTGTGGTAAATAATAATCATAGTCTTACATCAGTGAAGTGGAAGTTTGTGGAAAAAAAGAATTAAAAAAATTCAGAAAGTAGCGAGTAGTGACTTCTGAAATGGAAAATTTCTGCCTATGTCATTAACACCGAAAACTCCATCCAAAATGCAGAGGCAAAAAAAGTTTTTAAAGTTTTAGTCCTTGTTAACATCTTGGTTGCTAGGTAACAGCTATGGAATTACTTAATGTATGTTATATCTCCTGCCCACGTCCAATAGAGATATAACGAGATACACAGATGAATAAAAAGATGTAAAAAAAAAAAAAGTTGAGTTTGAAAATAACCAAAAGGAAGTAGCCGTGCGTTCTAAAATGGACTACTTCTTCCCATGTTATCAAGGCTTTTTCTAGCAGATTAAACATCCATTAAACAAAATAATGGACAGAGGAGGATGGAGCGTGAGATTGACAGGCTGATCGGTGCAGCATTGGCAGTGATGTGGTCGCTGTATTGGACCGTTGTGGTGAAGAGGAAGCTGAGCTGGAAGGCAAAGCTCTCGATTTACCGCTCAATCTATGTTCCTCTAATCATCTATGGTCATCAGCTCTGGGTAGTGACCGAAAGAACAAGATTGTGGATACAAGCGGCTGAAATGAGTTTGCTCCGCAGGGTGGCTGGGCGCTCCCTTAGAGACAGGGTGAGGAGCTCGGAGTACAGCCGATGCTCTCCACGTTGAGAGGAGCCAGCTGAGTTGGCTCGCGCATTTGTTCCGGATGCCTCCTGGGCACCTGTTCCGGGCATGTCCCACCGGAAGGAGGCCCCAAGGAAGACCCAGGACACTCTGAAGGGAC